TGTTTTTTAATTACAATGTTACAAGTACAATCAAATAGTAAATTATCTAATAAAAAATTGCATCTGAAACAAAGAATTCAATTAAAACAATAATTTTAAAAAAATGTTAAATTAAATGTTGTTGTAACGCAAAGCAATAATTGGAAAACTCAATTAAAGTATTTGAATTTGATAGTCCAAAACTAAAACCACGGACTACATCCAAAACCTAGATCTATCTGTTTTTGAGTTGTTTTTTTTTTCTTGTTTTACACATTTGTGTGGAAACTAAAAAAAGGATGTCAACACAGAGATACCATACCAGTCCGTAGCTACAACAATAACTGAAGACGAAGAAATGTCTCACTCTCACGACGGGTTTGATGCCCTTAGAGTGTACAATCTTTTTACTTCATGTAAAGGTGAAGACGATATAATTTTATTGGATACGTACATTGATGCATATGAGGAATTATGCAAGTAAGTTGTTTTTTTTTTTTAGTTATTAAAATAAATTTACTAAACAGTGAAAACACTTTAACTTTACCTTAGTAAGTAAATAAGTTAGTTACTATACGTTATACTACTTAGTCTTAGTACTATAAGTAGTAAAACTAAAACTATACTAAACTTAAACAGTAAAGTTACAGTTGAACAGTGAGACAGTCGGAGAATAGTAAAACTAACACTAACTGACTATAAAGTCTATATTATTATAACTGTGGCTAAGACTTAGATTTAGATCTAGTTAGTCTAAGACCAAGACTGACTAAGTCAGTAAGTGACTAACTGTTAGCATAATAAATAACAGTTAATCAATCTATAACTATAATACTATAATTATTATCTACAACTTAGATGACTTAGTACCACTACAAGTAGTATTGTCTGAATGAGTACACTATAAGTGAAACTGAACGAATCATAAAAATGTTATTTTTGTAACTTTTTAGATCTAAGTCTGTAGAGTAGACTGTATCTAGACTAGATCTAGATTAATCTAGAATCTAGTAGATTTAGACTTAGACGGGTAGATCTAGAATCTAATCAGTTAAGACTCATGTCAGTGTAGTCAGTGTAGTACTAGAATCTACTACTACTAGCTAGTAGCTTAGTCTTAAAATAACCTACAATTTACTAAAGTAGATGTGTAGAATTCTTGAAAGATCTAAATCTAATAATCTAGAATAATCTAGATCTATTTATATATTATAGAGTTTTAACTTGGAGTAGGCTGAGTAGGGGTTGCATTTTTAGTAATTTTGACTGCCACAACTTTGATAAAGACCACCATGATTTATTGACATCATTTGATAACAGCAATCTCAACTGATCTCAAGAACTGTTTAATATACTGGAAGTGACAAAAATCCTCAAACAAGTATACACAGTCAAAGCTTCAGGACCCGACAGATTAAGTGGGAAGCTGGTCTGTGGAGAACTAAGTAGACTAATTAATGAAAAAAGCATAGATCTATAGATCTTATATCTCTTGAAGAACTGTTTCCTTGAAAGATGCCTTTCCAAAACATATAATATCCTTAATGACAATATGGACCCACTAAACCACTGTTACATCAGATCTGGACAAAGTGGTCAGCTCCTCTCCATCAGGGCTAGAAGAGAGAGATTTTAAAACTTCTTTATTCCACTTTCAGCTAGTGTGTTTCAAGGTCATTTGTTATCAAAAAATACACAGAAACATAATTCATAAAGTGCTGGTTGTGTGTGTTTCGTGTGTGAATTTTGTTCATGTTTGCATTTATATTGTTATTGCTATTATCTGCTATAGTAGTAATGCTGAGGTGGATAATTATAGTAAAACTGAATTTCCATTTGTTTGGACTTATTGAAATTATCTTATGTAGATAATTAATAGTAAGTAGTTTTAATACACATTTAAAACTGACAATACACTAATAAAACCTACATTGTTAAAAAAGAACTTGAAAACATATTTTCAACTGCACTTAATTTGTATGACTAGTAGAATCCTAGATATTGTTTTTTTAAGGTCTAAAGTGTATTATAGAAAAGTTAAATTTTATGTATAATATTATATATACCAGTAATAAGACTAAATAGAAGATCATATACAAATAAAGAGATTTAAATAAAATATTTCAATGAAATATTGAATACTTAAAAAATAATAATGTTCAAATGTTGTTTTTCTTCAACTTTGTAAAAACAAAATGAATTTAAATATGTTATAAAAATGAAGAATGATGTGAAGTGTCACTAGCAGAAAATGACAACAGTCAAGAATAGGGCACAAATTTGAATGAATAGAGAGAACTTCTATATATGATACTGTGTTCGGGTCATCATATCCACGGTAGTTCATCATATTATATATATATACATCCAGCTTTTGCAAATATGGTTACATACACAATTTTTATTCTTTATTTATATTTAAACCACAAAAATATTTGGAATTCTAATTGTTTGTAAATATATTCAATAAATGTTGTTATTTAAAAATTTGTCATTTTAACTTTTTTAAAAATATTTATTCATACTAATGTGGTAAAGAAAATTGACTTAAATAACTTTTTTTTTTTGCTATTACTTCCCCTTATGTTACTTCCCTTTCTTCTTCAGTAAAGTTTCATCTTTAAATGTGGCTGATGGTTTATCAATGAGCTGTGTAGCCTTCACAATGACAGAGTGCTTTTACTTTTTCCCAAATACTGGGTGGATTCTGTGATGTCTTACAATCCTGAATAAAAAGTCTCTCTTAGGGATTTATACTTAAAATCATTTTGTTCTGAGGGTGAGCAGTTTAGCACTCAGCCACCTTGTCTGTTATAACTTTTTGTTTTAAAAGTTATATATAAAAAAAAAAAAAAGATAGGCAATTTAGATTTAGGCTCAACAAAAAATTTCAACATATAATTTAACGTTTTGTTTCAGGTTGTTCCGCCTCTTTGGTACAATATTTAGCTTTGTAACCTCAGATGTGGAAGAAAAGATCAACATCTTAAGAGACTACCGCAAATCTGATGTTGCAGAGAAATACAAAACCATTCAGACGTTGCTTGAATACGAAGTCGAGCACGGCGCAACAAAAAACACCAAGAAGCCATCAGGTGCTAGAACACTCCTTCGCCTACACAGAGCATTGGAGTTTATCGCAGCCTTTCTGTTGAAACTCAAAGAAACAGACAATACTGTAAAATTTTCATCCGCTGCCATGAAAGCTTACGACGACACTTTGGCCAGGCATCATCCCTGGCTAGTCAAGAAGGCTGTCCATGTAGCCATGTATATGCTTCCGTCCAGGTTGGATCTCCTGAAAAAAATGGGAGTTGAAGACAATGAAAGAGGCATGCAGGGAATCAGTGATTTAGCACATGAACTGACTATTATATTCCAGGTGACAGAAGAGGCTTACAGTAAAGATAACTTGTTAGATCTACCATAAAATGACTGTAGACATTGTGTAATAATGACTGAAACAGCTCTGTACGTTTTTCTGTTTATTTATTTGTCATTGTTTGAACCTACTAACAAAGTACAACTTAATGAAGCCTTTATATTTCTAGTTGATTTTTCGGGAAAGTAAATTGGAAAGGGGAAATTTGATAGTGCATAGCAACTTAAAAATTAGTTTTTTGTTATGAAGCTTTCAGCATTTGAGAGTTTTGCAGGCTGTCGATTCAGACTATAAATAAATATTCAATTTTTTATTTTTTTAATACTTTTTAAATAATTATTTTATTTTTAGAAATGTTTAATTTTTTAAATCATACATTAAAATATTTATTTTCTGGCATATTATTTTAAAAAATTTTTTTTAAGAAAATATAAGTTTTTAATTAAAAATCTTTTCTCCTGGCAAACAGTATTTGATTATTATGTTAAAATTTCACTTATATTAGTGTTGAAACAACTTTTGATTGTTATATGTTTATTCTCAGTTCATTGCAAGCCACAGTGTTTGTTGACGCTAATGCTTTTATTTACATTACTTATCATATTCAAGTTATATAGTTTTATTAACACTATATATAGATATTCTCTGACTTGATGATTAGAAAAAAAATAGGATCAAAATTATTGACCAGTACTCTATGTTTAATGAGAGATTTATATTGTGCTAATTCTTTGTTTTCCTTTTTTCTTCTTGTAAGCACCATATTCTTAAATTTGTTTTCACTATCCTAAATGAAAATAATTGAAATATCAGTTGAATGAATGGTTCTACTTTTTTTTTTTTAACTGCTCAACTTTTTTTGTAGAAAATCTGAAGGGTAAAAAAACTAATGGTCTTATCAATCATATTTATTTTTCTAAATTAAATTACTTAAACTTTTCATTTAATTATAGGATAGGAAACAAAAGTGCCTGTAAATCAAGAGAGATTGTTCAATTAAAAACACAGATTATTTTGAAAATATTTTTTCACCATCATAAAAAAAAAATAATTCTGGTTATAATCACATAATGTTGGCAAAGCAATTAGGCTGTAATCATTGACACTTCAATAGAAACTTGAGATACAAATAAACACTTCCAACAAACATGCCATTGGTTTATGCAAAAGATACCAATGACTTTATGCAAAAGATACCAATGACTTTATGCAAAAGATACCAATGACTTTATGCAAAAGATACCAATGACTTTATTTTATTTAATTTGAGCCCCCTTACACAGTAACACTACCAATAATAACATTAGATTTTATTTTATTTTTTACTTCTTAGCTCTATTAACCCATTGCTGTTATTAGTGATAAATTACTGAAATTAGTAAAATGCACTACGAACCAATGCTTTTAAGCCTCAGCGTGGCGCTGGGGTGGAAACGGTCATTAGAAAAGATGAATAGGCCCATAGGGAAGCAAAAAAAAAACAAACCCTGTTGGGGTGCCTAAGGACTGAGTCCATTGCACTGGTGGGGATGGAAGAAAGTCCCAACAAACATGTCACAGTTCTCACACCGTTCCTCAAAGGACCGTTCTTATGGCGGACACCTGCACGGCTGATGTGGAACAGAGAATGAAAATGGTTGGGGGGGGGGGGGGGGGTTTCCCTGATGTGCTCGACCATTGGCCTTGATTCTAATCTGAGCACCTTGGGTTATGATCCATTGATAATAGGGATGCAATAATTTACATCTACCCATCTTTCCGAGACAGAAGTTTTTTCAGGCAGATGGAAGCAAGCTTTCATAGACCTAGAGTTCTAAGAGTCATAGACCCAACTCTTATGACAATTAGAGAGAAAAGTGCACTATGAATGAGTTAAATGCACTATGCTAGTCTTCTGGGAGTTAAACATCTAAAAGTAATTGTTTTGCCTTTAAGTAGTAATAATGAGATGGACTATTGAAAAAAAACAACTGTAAATCTATCTTACAGGGCAGCATGCTAACATTATGTACCATAAAAAAAACAATGGCCAATTACATTTTTAAAAACAAATTGTTATTGTCAACTTTACAGCCAACTCTTAGCTATACATATACATGACTTATATTCATGAGTTAAATATTTTTTGTTCTAATATATAATATGTTTGATGTGATGCTTTTGGTTATTTTGTTAGTTGATCATTTACTCATTGTATGGTTCAGACAACAGATATAATTTTCTAGTTTCAATATTAACCTGATGATTTTCTAGTTTCAATATTAACCTGATGATTTTCTAGTTTCAATATTAACCTGATGATTTTCTAGATTCAATATGAATGATGATTGCCTAATTTTAATATTCAGCTAATTCTAATTTCATTCTGCTTCAGAATGCTTATAAAACCTAAGCTCAAGATCCTTTAACCTTACAGTTGTAAATATATTGTATTTTTATGATTGCTCTGCAATTGAGGAAAATAAATGTCTCAGAGCATGTAGATAGTGTGTATGTGTTTATGAACAATGGGAGAAAACAGAAATAGTGAGAACCTAAGAGGCGGATAACTGCTATCAAGCAAAAATCACTCCCTGGATATAAGAATGGTTACCTTAAATAATTTCCCGTCTATTCTGTTTAAAAGTGATGCAGAGGATCCTACTTAAAGAAGCTTTAATAGTGTTAAGTTTTATTTAAAAACAGGCACAATTTTGAAGAAATCACATTTTTTTGCATACACAATAGTTTTTATCTTCTACCAGTGTTTTACATACCAGTATCTGCAATTTTCTGTCATCGTTTTGTTGGCTGTGAACTAATATATGTACCAGAATTGAATATAATTGATAATTATTCTACATTTTTGTTTCTTTGTTAATCAGCTGTTTACTTCTCTGAATAGAAGTGTCTGTGAAAGAGTGTTACACTATTGTACATAAAAACGATTGTGGTAGTTAGCTTTTTTACCATATGGACCAAATAGGAAAGTTTATATTAAAAATTGTGTCCAACTAGCCATCTACATTTTTTTTAAATTTCATAACATTTTCTATCTACGTAAATGATGTCTGATGTATTAAGTAAAGCATCTAGAACATTTTTATATATTTTTTTTTTACAAAGCTGATATCAACTCACTCATTCTGTCTGTCTGGTAAAAAGTGTATACACTTGTTTCTCCCAAATCCATTCTCGTTCCAGTAGAAACCTTTCACAACTATTCATTGGCATAGACAAGATATGAATCAACAAAAAAAAAGTAACCAATTAGTCAATGAATTACTGGTAATTAATTATTCTTTTTGATACCTACAATGGAAAATAATGATTCAGTATTCACATATGTGGCTAGATTTGTTGGGTTCAGTCCCTTTAAATAATTACGCTATTTCTCACTCACACATTCTCTGATCAAGTTAATACTTTGAACAATCATCTGTTTACCTAACTAAACACGAATCATTTAAACAAAAAAAACAATAAATTAGTCAATTAATTATTGGTAATTTATTATTTTGTTTTATATCGAATAAGGGAAATAACAAGAACATTATTAATAGTATAGTTTTAAGAGCGGAGTTCTTCCCTTTAGATAAGCTTTTTTTTTTTTTTGCTTGTTTTCTTTTTAAAACAACAGTGCATGGCCAAGAGAGAAATTTATTTTGAAAATCTTGGGGAAGAGAGCTAATCCCACATGAAGTCATCATACCAAAGCATATGACTTTGTTTAAAACCTTGTTTTTGAAACCTAACCTCAATAACGAATTGTCTCAAAGAAAATGGAGTATATCATTATGTACAAAATGGCGTGAGAATCATTTTCTCTCAGCAAGCTTAGTTATAATATGACCTTTAAGACATTGACCCTTCTATCTTAGGAAGCTTGGAATTTTAAAATTGACAAATACAATTATGAAACCTATTTGTATACAGCTACCAGCAGTAGTCTGACTATATTCGCCATCACTTGCTGGTATGGTAATACCTCACTGCCTCAAAGACATTGACTAAAATACTAAATAGACTAATTCAAAAAGCATCCTATATCACTCAAGAACAGCTACTGTCTCTTGAGAAACTATTTTAAATCCTAGAAAACAATTTTCACCCATTACATCAAATCTGGATGAACTTAGTAGACTCCTCTCCATAGTGTTTTAAATGGCAATGTCTTCGATTCCAAAGATTAAGGGTGAATGCAATGTTTCACATGATCACCCAACCCTAGTTGCAACCTGCATAGTTTTCGGCATCTAATGCAGGCAAAGCGGATGTCTGCCAGCGGTTTATTTAAATATTCTTTTTGTCTTCTGTGCCTGTCTTTTCTTTGTCTCAAATGTGTGTCCCACTGCCTTTAAAAACTCCTTCATTCCATTACTTGGAATGGAAAGGGGAGACAGTGGCTTGGCCAGGGTGGGAGAGGGAGCGTCCAATTTTTAACGCCCCCCCGGCCCCCACTTGAATTTGGCCCCCAAATGAATGTCCTAAAAAATTGTTTCACATTAGTTATTAGTCACTGCCATGTTATCTTGAAATTCACGTCAATACCCGTACTAGACAGCATTGATCTAGATTTATATAATAGATGATGTTATAGATAACTTTGTTGCACAGAAAGCACAACGTGAAGCGTTATGAATTGAGATTTGTCACTCCTGCATTACCTCGCCAATAAACTACGGTATTATAAGTCCCTTGACCGCGCTTATCTAATTTGGTGACTTTTTGGGGGGGGGGGGGGGGGCTGCCTAAGGGATGCGAGAGCATCCTCATTGCACTGTGCGGAGTTGTAAATAAAGCTCCCACAACCTTGTCAAAATCCAGGCGCTGTTCCTCAAGGGGCCGTTACATAAATGGCGTTTTCCGCACGGTTAGCCTGGTATAGAAAAAGGAAAATGTCGGGGGTCTTAGTGTATGCGGCCTCTTGCCGCGAGTGTGACCGACCCGACTCTTTCAGGCCAGTGAGAGGGAGCTCTTGTTCACTTTTGCTGGCTTAGAGTTCCAAGAGCTGAAGGCTCAACTCTACCTAACAGTTTCAAGAAGAAAGGGGGATCAACACCAAATCCTTTGCTGTGCTCATGAAATATAGTGACTGTGGTAGTTTTTAAAATTATTTTTTTTACGCAAAAGTTACAAGCGCAGTTTTTGTTTTATTTTTAAAATTGATATATGGGTTAGGTCTGTGGGCGTCGGCTAAACCAGAAGCTACCATTGGCTCTTTTAGTCACATTGTCAGAAATGGCTTCTGAGAACATAAGACTTCCAAAACATGACCAAGAAATATTAAATCAAATCTTCAACCCAAGTTTACCATTTGTTGAAGATGATAATGAAAACAGGAAATTAGGTAGATCTAAACCTCGAATGTGATAATGCATATATTATAAAATATCAGACAAACGTAAATACAGCTGGCTCTATTTTTAGTGATGTTACTGTGAGTCAGTGTGACTACGTACTACTGCTAGTCTAGTACTGGCACTCAGATCGTCGGAGTACTACTAGTACTACTACAAGACTACAGTATTAGACTAGACCTTACTTATTTACTAGTACTAGACTATCTATTAATCTAAATAATCTACTTCTAACTGTAGTGTACAGTTACTGAGTTAGTAAATAAGTAATGTATGTAGTCGTAAATAGTTTTAAAATAGTAACATTAAATAATAAATAGACTCTAGTCTAACTTTAGTTTAAAGTCTAACTATTGCCTCTATTTCTATAAATAAGTATAGCCTAGGCCTAGTAATAACTAGTATAGACATAGTGCCCATAGCCTATAGCTGTTAATTAGTTTAATCAGTTAATCATAGTTAATGTGTTAATACTAACTTACTGCTGACACTGACAGTGCTGTATAAAGTTATAGTAATAATAGTAATCTCGTCTTAATGATAGACTCTAATTATAATAGTCATTAGTCGATTAGTCATTTGTGTATGTTAATATTATGATTCTTCTCTCTCTCAACACTCAATCATAATTATTTATTCATATTTTATTTTAACAAAAACAAAAGGACAACATATTTTATTTATGATATTGAATAATATAAAATAATATTGTCATAAATACAGTACCACTACAGTCTACATGACCAGACCTATACTATACAAAATAATTATTATATTAATATCTATATAGATTTATAGATCTAGTCTAGATTACTAAATTATAGATGTACTCTAGATTTCTAGATATCTAGAATAAAAGCTTCAGTGAGTATGTAGCTCTAGCAATCAAGCTGTAATTGTAAATACGTAAATTTAATATAAGTGTGAAGCTAAGTCTAAAGTAGCGCTGCAACAATGTATGAAGGAATCACGAGAACATTTTTAAATGAGAGAAAGTAGTGAATTTATTAAAGTTCCATAGTACAAAATAAGCTTGATTGCTACAATGGTTCTATTTTAACTGTAAGTGAATATCTCTCAATATAACAAGCGGACAACATAAATGCTCTACACATATAGAAACTTGAATACATAGCTTGTTTGTCTATTATTTATTTGCCTAATGGATATCTGTGTTGGCGCTGTTAAAATTGTTGTTGAAGACGGGTGAGGTGAGGACAGAGCATGTGACCGTTGACTGCTGGGATGGTATGATTGCAAAGTGCCGTGGATCAGAAAGATGTTTATTTGACATATCCATGGTCAAAAGGTTATTTCTCTTAGCACTGAGTTGCTGGTAGGCGGAGTAGTTTTCCCAGATGGTCACTGGTTTGAGCCCTGGTTAATGCAGTCCCTTATTTCATTATATTAAGTCCCTATTATCTCTAATAAAAAAAAAATGTGGTCACTATTGTTGCCTATATATATATATATATATATATATATGTAATATGTATGCATTGTCAAAAAAATATCTAAACACTGCATTCATGTCCCCTATTGAATAGAGTGCAATATAAAATGAATATTCTCTGAGATGGCAGTGCCTCTGTCCCTCCCTGACCCCCCTCTCTATTGACTGTTCCACTAGTTACCTTTCAGTGATTTTCTATCTCAACTCTCCCTGGCTCCAGCTATAGGTCATTTAAATATGGCTTCCCCCCCTTTTATTCCACTCCCTCTCCCACTACTGTTAATTCTTATTTCTAATTCTAATGAGTTCATAAAGAGCACATTACTCCCTTCAAGGATCATTTTGTCTGATAAATCTTTCATTCCTAAATGCAGTGGGACAAAAAGCTGCTCTTGTACATATAAAAAAAATTACTAATTTGAACACAAATGCGCATAAAAAAAAAATACCCATATAGCAGACTTTTTTTTTTGGAAGACATAAATTAAATGAACAAATAATATTTTCTAAGACATTTAGCACTGAAAAATGCCAGTTTGCTACCCATTTAAGGCTGGGTTGTATGAGTTGTTCAAATGTTAACTTAATCAGCTACTGTTATTAATTGAGAATGGTTTGAATGTTTAGACTATAATTATCTGAAGCTCAACAATTTTACTTTTTATTCTAGAAGAAGGAGTAGAAAGTGAAGAAGTTAAGGCAGCTAAACTTTTGGAAGTAGCTGGTGTGAAAGCTGCTGAAACTGGCAACATAGACGTTGCTATTGAGTTTTTTACAGAAGCTATGACTGTTGCTCCATTGTGGCCTTCACCCTACAACAACAGGGCCCAGGCACTGAGACTGAAAGGGGACATTGAAGGTAATTTGTACGGAAATTTTTTTTTTTTTTTTATTTCGTTCCACAACAGTACTACATTTTTTAAAATTTCACTTTACTTGGCCAGGTTAATAATTTTAGTAAGCCAAAATAAATAAATTTGGTTAAAACAGTATAATTTGTTTGTTAGCAAGATCATATTCTAACTGATAACTTTCCAAATCAACTCACTGGTCTAAAAATATGCATTGTATGTTTGCCTTGTTAATAGTAGTTCTGATGCCTTGCATGCATAAAATAGTTTCATAATTCAAGTTTAATGCCAAAGCTTTTTAAAAACTGTTTTGTCTATAGATTAATTTTAAGAAAATTGTTTATTTTAAAACTAATATTTTTAAACTGTTTTATTAGATGTCTTTTTTTTTTCATCTTTTGCTAGGTGCCAAGACAGATTTAAACAAAGCCTTAGAGTTAAGTAATGGTGAAGGAAGTGTTGCATCTCAAGCATTTACACAGCGAGGTCTTATTAGAAAGAAAGAAGGTAAGTACTGGAGTTACTGATGTTAACAAAACAATTTTAATGTACCCTGTCTGTTTCTGGGAGTGTGTTGATACTTAATTTTGGCAAAGTTTAAAGCCTCGGCTATTGATTCTATCAACAATAAAAGTTTCTTGGAATAATCTTTCTATTTGCTACATCATAATGGTTTTGTTGTGTTCTTAAAAGCTTGAAATTTAATTAAGTTCAGAAACCAAGTGGCTTTAAGCTGCATAAGTTTGGATATGATTATAATGGAAGAGTAAATAAATATATCCTGTTAAACAAGACAACTTAGCGATCCAGTTTTGTGTCAGAGATTCTGAACTTTATGTCACTCACAGGCAGCCGGTGACAGCAGAGAATGTTGAAAATACTTTTCACCTAAATACAAGAACATTGCTCATGATATTGACCTTTATATTCCGCTATGTGAGCTTTGCTAGATAAAGCAAAATGTTTTTTTTTCAAAAAGGAATTGCAGAGAAGCCTATTGTATTTTGTTTTAAATTCTCACATTCTTACAGTACTTATGTTAATAGTGTCTACATAAAATATTGTCCATTGTACAATGCAAAGTAAATACATCTGAAATGTTGCAGGAGTGTTATTGTAAAGTCTACACTGATTATAACACTTTCCCAAATATATAGAAATATAATTGTTTCCTTGTTAGTATCAGACATGTTGAATAATTTTCTTCAATAATTAAAGCCTATATATACATTGTTGTTCTGTTGCTTTGTATATTTCAGGGGAAGATGAGGGAGCTAAAGCAGACTTCACAAGAGCTTCTGAGCTTGGCAGTAGGTTCTGTAAACAGGTCTTAGCATCCATGAACCCTTATGCTGCATTGTGTAACCAGATGTTAAGTGATGTCATGCACAAAATCAGAAGTGGAGAAGCTTAGATTAGTGATGCTCAACTCAAGAGTCATTAATAAGTGTCTAATTATAGGCATATTTATTTTTAAATTGTATTAGAATTGTGTGTCCATTTTATTTGGTTGAGATATGAAGGTGTTCAATCATTGTAATGACTACTTTATACATTCCAACTAATGGTACTTTGGTAAGGTGTTTGCCAGGGGTGCCACTTTTCTGGAATAACCCAGAAATCCGAGTTTTGAGGGGTCCGATTTTCCCCCCTCCGGGTTTGCCTTCTACAATTTTGTTAAAATACAGGGTTTTAGTTGATTTAGATTTTTTTGAAATTCCTGGTCATTTTCCCCTGTTAATTTTAGTTTGTTAGTTCCGATCGCGCGAGCCGCCATTTTTTAAACAAAATCTACCAGGCTCATATTTCGCGAGACTTTCACTTTGCATGCGCACCAAGCTTTATTTACCAGTACAGTATTTTTATTTTAAGTGTCAAAAAAGTGTAAACATTCTAGATCTATAGAGAATTCCTAGATCTACGGAACGCGCCTCGAATCGGCTCGATTTCGATTTTCTATGATCAATCTAGATCTGATCTAGAGTCAATCTAGACTGTAAAGTCTTGTATTTAGTATAGATATAGTCTAGAATAGTCTAGATTTAGATTTAGATCTACTCACGTACCTAGCGGCTAGTCCTAGGCCTAGATCTAGAAAGAAACAAAAATTCACGAGTGAGAAATTATATAGACCTATATATTTTTTTCTTTCCGTGTTTTATATTTTAATATTTGTATAGGTTCTATATAAACATAGAGCCTTAGCCTATGTCTAGACTAGTCTAGAGCTATATTGGTCTAGAGTATTATAGAAGTAGGATCTAGATTTAGGATATTTACATTGTTTTTAGATCAGAACTAGAATCAATGATTGAAGAATTAAATAAATAAGTTTGCATTCGCCTGAAGACTTTTAGAGGCTAGAAAAAATAGATCGATTGGTCAATAGATTTATACAAATAAATTATAATTATGTATAAGCAGTCCAGCACATTCTAGCCATCTAGGTCTACATTTAAATATTAGTAACTAAATCAAAATGTTCATTTTGGAGTAGATCTGGACTAAATCTCAATATCAATTTTATCTTGTTGCAATAGATTTACAGGTCCATGCATGTACATTGATGGAATCAGTTTGATCAATGTTGATTAAAGTAGGCTGCTTCAAAGGAATAATGAGGGAAAAAATGTTAAGAGAGAAACATCATTTAAAATAACTGTGGGTATGGGGGGGGGGGGGGGGTTTACAAACATTGGTAATATAAAATTGTACTAAATCCTCTTATCTTGTATTACAAGCTTTATCAATAAATACACACAAACTCTATTTATTATAATGATAGGCTTACTAATTACATATTTAAAACATGGGGGGCATATTATGATATAGATCTAGGTAGTAATTTAATACTGTTCTTCTTTCATACAATTTTGGTGCTTAAATTGTATATGCGGTACGTTTCAGGGTTGGTAAAGTTTGGGGTGTATGATTTCAGGGTTTGTAAAATTTGGAAATTCGGGTTTCAGGGTTTACTTGGTCTCATGGGTGGCACCCCTGTGTTTGCTGTTTTTTTTGGTATAGGGTAAAAATTGTACAAATACCCTAGTTTTGCATTTATACTGCATATGTTTATTTGTTATACCTTATCATGCAACTCTAGATCTGACATTATTTAATATTCAAGGGACCCAACAGTTTTATTGTTATTGTTGACTTAAACACACATTCCAGTGAGTCCACATATCATTTGAATGCCATTCAAGTCTACAAAATTGATTTCAAAATCATTTCCAGTAAACTTTTTGGAAAAATCCTCATTTGCCAACTTCTGTTTCTACCAACTTTATAAGACTGATTGAGGAACAAATAAGAAAATGTTTCAGACAATAGCATAGTATTTAGATTTGTAAAAAATAATACAAGATGCTCAAATGTATTAAAAAGAATTTGATGAGTTCCTAGAGTGGGAATCTAAGAGCACTTGTCCTAATGGTCGATTATACCACCAGGGACTGCATATTCGATCATGATATAAAATCAAAAGACTGATACATCCAGATGGCACTGCGTAATGGTGGCATGCAGTTAGTACTTCACATGTAATGTACAAGAGAAACTGTGGTTTGAAATTATGGTTTGTCTGCTTATAAGTATTATTATGTGTGATGCATAATTGTAAGACAAAGATCCTCAAGGATAATACAAAATTATTATTTAAGTTTTGTTGGATGTCTATTAAATCTTTAGAAATGTTTCTGTTTGTGTCTTCTAATGATGTGACGAGCGCATGCATTTCTTTGTTACATTTAATAATAAAGATTGCATTGGACAAGCTCAGTCATGGGTTAATGATATTGATAACATGTTACTACAGCTGCTGGTTATGTGCTTTGTGTTCAGACTGTCATGATATTTGTTTTGACTTTGAGCCAGACCACTACCATCCTCTGCCATCCTGAAGAAGGTTTGGGCCAGGACATAATAATCTTCATTTGTGAAGGAACTTTCCAAACTTACACAAAAAAAGGGTTGTGATAGATTTATATTCTTGAAGCTAGCTGGTGACCAAAAAAATGTTTATTATTAAATACTCCCCACAGCTTTCTTATTAATAAAGCTTATATCAACTCACTCTGTCTTTCTGGTAAAAAGTTTGTGTTATTGGATCAAGATGAAATTTTGCACAATTATTTTCTTGTACCCGACAAAACAAGAATCAATTAAAAAAAAAAATAGTTTATTAACTATTGAAAATTAATTATTTTGTTTGGTAATGTACAAGGGAAAAAAATCACTTGTTGGGCACTATTTAGGCCATTTTGTGCTTCAATTAATTTGAGGAATATTTCTTCTAAGCTAATTTACTTTTTGGGTAATAATTCAGAATTTTGGAAAGACAAAGGCCCTCTTGACACTAAAATCAGACTGATGCACTCTCTGGTCAGTTTGTGAATCTTGGACACTGCAGATCTAGAGAGGAGGATCCTAGCCATGGAATTTAGATGCTACAGAAAGATACTAGGTATCAATTACAAAGACTGCATCACAAATGAAGAAATTAGAAAAAGTCCTTAGACAGCGATCGGACCCCAAAATGACCTAACTACTGTAAAAAAAAACACGAACTCTATCACAAGGTCCTCAGGGCTCACAAAGACCTTCCTTTAGGGAACAGAACCAGGAAAAAGAAGAAGACCCAGAGAAAGCAATGGGAAAACAACATAAAATACAGTCATGGACACGAGTCTGTCATCAACAAAGATTCTATACAAGGCAATTGACCGAGAGGAATGGAGATAGATTTAAACAGACTAAGAGATAGGTGAAGATGAATACATAATTCACAGCTTAAACATGAATAGCTAGATCTATATGCACAAAGGATGTTGGAAGTCTGCTAAACAGTTTTTTATTACATTTATTTATTAAAGTTAGTTGTTTATTTTCAACCCATGTTGATGAAACTCCAGATAGTTAATCCATCCTACCCTATGGACCTATTAGTTAGCGCTCACACACATTTAAATAAAAGCTTGAAATCTTTTATATATAAAACTTAATGTTTATTACAAATGCCTGCAGGTATTCTATTTCAGTGTAGAGATATACAAAATACAAATGAAATATTTTCAACATACCAGTATCACTCTACTGGCTTAAACCTACTGTTAGCACTCTTCAGTAGTCACATCTTCATAAGAAAACAAAAATTCATAGACCATGCACTCAAAGCAAAATGTATCTGATTCATGGATCAGTTTTTGCCAGTACACCTCTTGCAGCACAATTACAGTGGACCTTTAAAAAACTTGTGAAAAGTGTACAGTTCATTTCAGATCATCCAAAGCTTCCAACTTTCTTTTAAAACTTGAGAGAACTTTAACCAATTTATGAGAATTTTTAAGATCTTATGTTGTACTGATAATTGTTGTCTGTACAATGCTCTAGAATTGATATTCTATTAACATTTTCAAGTTCAATTCAAATTGAAATTCAATAGTTGCAACAATTTTATGATTTGTACACAGGCCAAATTTTGACTCCAGTTGCAGAGAGAAGGAAACACGGCTTTGTGTTCCTTATGTCTGTCTCAGACATTTTAAATTCCCATTAGACAGGTTGGCTTGTATAGAAACATTTGATACCTAATCCTATTTTGTTTTTCAAGGCTTTTTTTTTAACCCTAACCCTAACTTTGGAAAAAGATTTCAACCTCTATAACTCAGACTTTGATGATATGAAATGGGGGCATGTGGTTCAGAAGCATTTATATATAGCAGATCTGAACAAATTAATGTAAAAACTTTTGCATTTTTTCAGGAACTCTAAAGGGCAAACTCCAAATCAAGTCTTTAATCTAATCTTATTGTGACTTTAATAAATATTTGAAAGACAAGTCACAATTTGAAAGAAAAATGTATTGTTGCACTTTAGACATCCCATTCAATTGATTTTGTATTCATTCGATTGAAATCACATACGTACTCAAAAGTATTTGGCTTTAATTTACATTATTGTATTCAGTAAGTTAAAAATTGTGCAACTTTCATTGAAATAAGCTTCATTTACATAAGATATGAACCAAACTTTCACATAAATTGAATTTTCAACATTTAAAAAATTGTATTCACACTAACAGTTAAATTTCTCTTATTTTATCTTATATAATACAGACGTTACTTCAAAAAAAAAAAAAGATGATTACTTTCTTTAGTTTATATTCAATTAATGAAAAATGATTATAAAATGTTTCATGTGTCTAATGTTCCTTCAGAGTCCAAACCTTCTGCAGGATGGCAGCAGACAGAGTATGAACCAGGGACCATGAAGAAAACCGAATGACAGTCCAGTGTGCATACCACATGACCAGGCAACCATCCAATATGTCAATGCCTGTCGTCTCATGAACTAATGAAATGTACACAGTTTTTGAATCACTTAATTTACAATTGAACAGTATGAATCTTAAAAGGTTTGGGCCCACTGTTATGTAAGTTTTATTTCTAAAAGGTTAGTAATGTACCCACTTTCAGACTTAGCAATCTATGGATCAAATGATGTAAAGGTCATATGTTTCTTTGGCTCATTGTTAAAGTAGGTGTCATGTGGCCAGCATAACAACCAATTGCCTATGTAGATTTATATATACAAAAAATTAGGTTTTAAATCATATTGACATTGATGATTTGATTGATGAATTTCATAATAAGAAAAATGAGAAAAGCACTCTAAAAATCCAAGACCTATACATTTAATTAAAACTATATTTGCCTTAAACTAAGTTTTGCGCATCTGCCTTCATCTGCACCATTCTATTGTAACAAATTTCTTGACTGGTGGTATTGGGCCAGGCCCTATTTGATGTTACAGGAAATTCTTCACCGCCAACATAGACAGCAACGGGAGTAAATGCCTTGCGAATGGTCCGTATCTCACCAGCACAATCTTCTAGTGGCTCCAGAACATCCTCTATCTTTAAGATTGTAATGTCAGCATTCATACCGACCCCTAGACTACCAAGCTCTTTTTCTTTACCTGTATTTGTGAACAAAGACACATAAAAATAGGAGTCAATATATTTTTGAAATGATGCAGTGGTCAAGAAAATCAAATTCTTTATCAGCCCTTCAAGTTGTTTAAGCCGGCACTTAAACATATGATAAGCCTATTTTAATATGCCATCCTTCTCTCAGATTAGACTCTAGAAAACATTGTAAAAGTGCTACATTGAACTCTACAGTCAAATCCGGTTAATCCAACATGATGCTTATTTAGACCAAATCCTAAACTTCCAAAACAAATCCAGCGGGGTATTAAAACAAAAACAATCATGTTTGGGTGAGGTCTGAATTATCATACTTGACTGTATACCAACAATAGAGCATAAAACCATTACTACTGGCGGTGCCAGTACTCAGTGATGGATTGCCTAACTTTTAACTACTAATAAATTAATAATAAATGTTAAAATACTAGAAAAGTAATAATTTTTCCCCACATTAAAAAAGGTGCCAGTATGCTGTACCGGTGCGTACCATCATAAAAAAAAACACTGACTATTGGTATATATTCTATCAAAAGTAAATGTAAGACTTAAGACTCGACCTATAGCCCTAGCAGGAGTTGAGGTAACTGCAGCTATCACTTGCTCCAAGCCCATCCCAACATGCAGCAGTTTGCTCATTGCACAAAGTAGGTCATAGGCTGGACCATGAATGTCTCCTGTATGTAGGTCTGTGCTAATTGTATCTGGTAGGAAACCCCCAGCAATACATTTCTCTGCAACAGACCACATGAAGGAACCTGAAAAAAAAGAAGCACAAAATCATGATAGTTTAATCGATGACATTTTCAAAATATTTGGGATATCTTTATACCAAAGTTATGAATTTTGTATTTGAAAAAATGCAACTATTGTTGCAGCTGGGAAACAGAAAATTATCAATGATTAATAACAAATCCAATGCGTCCAGCAGAAAGGTCAGATACCTTAACTCTGCATATCAGTCATCATGTTATCAACCCATTTAAGTTGGTTGAATTCACTTTTATAAAAAATATTTATCTAGGCCAAGTATTTAGCCAGTTCCCAAGCATTCACTCACCATGTCTTACTAGGGAAGTGTGACGAATGATATTTTCCCTATGTTCTCTTAGTGATTCCTAAGAAAAAAAATGGAAAGAAATAAAATGGGTAAACTGGCAACCTATCCGAAGGATAACCTTTATGTTCTTAAGATCAATGTGGAAAAAAGGGTTTCATGTCAAGCTTATAAATATTTGTTGTCTCTAAAATGTACCTTACCAATGTCTAGTGGAAGATTTTAATTGCTCAGCTAATATTTAATTCAGCACATTCTATTCTTTAATTTTTCCTTGACTTATTATTGAAAGGGGGAGAATGATCATTCTTTCACAGAAGCAAGTGAATAGTGGTGTAACTCTGCTGACGTCTGGTTTGTTTGCACTAATTTCATGATCAACACTACAAACAACCAAAGTATCTTCCCTAAATCTTTCACTGACTGCTCCTAATCAACTTGTGTGCAACGTGTTTCTGAGTTTTGATGAACCTAGCTTGCAATCATTTTTAACATTTGCCAGTAAGTTTTAAGCTCCAGTAGCCCTCGATTTTTGCTAAGATTCTTAAGTTTTTTCTCTCCCATTGAAGTGAAGCTCGATACAAGGTACATAACTGTGTTCTCTAGGCAAATATTTATACCGTAGCACTAATGTTGTTCATTTCAAATTTTTTTTATTAAACTTTCAGTTTTAACCACTTTGTGGAGAAATGTAAAAACCTTTTTAGGCTAACGCCTTTACATGTTTCTGATTGTAATGTTTTGAAGTTAATTTTCACTTTAGGTCTGGCCTATCTGTCTGACACACTAATTCTTTTTTTTTTTTTCCAATAGAAGGAACAATATGGTTAACCTAATCACAGACCAACAGAAAAATCCCAATTTAATTAGCAGTAACAATGTTGAAAAAAATAATAGAGCTATACTCCCACTTAACTAGATGTTAATTGCTTGCGGCCTACATCATATGCTGTGTGTTAAAGGTTACTGAGAATACCCCTTTTCCCCATCTCATTCTAAAGGACATTTCTCCACACACACTCAGCATAAGCTTGCTCTAGTATGATTTACCTTGTCCGTGACCTATATCAAACAAGACTCCTCTTGTTTTGGCTTCAAGGCAATGTTTGCTTATGGCACCTGTGTCATCCACAA